TATTGATAGTACATATAGCCTACTGTAAAAATTTTATCCATGAAAAACAGGTAGTTTCTGAGAAATACATAAGATTACGCAATGTAACACGGGCTCCAATGGACATACCGAATCACCTTAAATTATGAAAACTGCATCCTTGAAATGACTATTTATATATACTCAGACTCTTTATTTATACTACATATACCCTCAGACTTTATTTATCGTAATCCATTTACCGGAATATTTAGTGTTATTAGTTTGCCAAAAAATGCTAGAATTTTATCCATTGCTTTTCTTTGTATCCATTTAGCTCAGATGTAAATACAATATGCATTTTTCCCATAAAATTATTTCTGTCTCCTCACGCAATTAATACATCGCATACTCATTAATCAACCATAAATAATTATGAATGGTTAATTTTATTTTTATATCGTATTAAATTTAATATTATTTACAGGGGATTTTCGCTTTCCAAGTTGAAGCTTTCGTTAAACCTCTGGTTCGTTAAGCACAAAGAAAATATTTCTTTTTTAGAAGCAAATCGCCAAGTATCGATGTCGAACTCATGACTCTGAGCGTCATGCATCAGGACTTTTACTCAAAGGATCTTTAGTAGAATTGGGACTGGAGCACGCGGCTTGGATTATAGAGATCACGCGAACGGCTTTAATTTTAAATAGTAAATTTGTGGATATACATGTAAATCAGACCTTTGAAGATGCTGCGAATATTTAGAACTTCAAGTCTAAATTGCGATAGTCTTTTGATGATAAAACCTTGCGTCCATCCTATGCGTTTTTTGTTAAGTGTCGGAATGCCCTGGTGCAGGGGTGAAAATTGCAGTTGCCGTAGGAAGCGCTGGAAAATACAGCGCGCTCAGTCACAGTTAAATTTGGTGAGGAGTAGGAATTGCAATATCGGACCAAAAATCCAATACTGGTGCTCGGTATGTTTTAGATCTTAATACCGGGATACCGGTTTTAATACTGTTAGTAGAAATTTTAGAAAAAGAAAGAAAACAAAGGTGTATTTTTGTTGTTGTTTTATTTGGCAGTTGCTTTATTCGAGAGTGTAAATATCACAAAAATAATTTGTAACTTATAAACATTATATAAAGAATCAAAAAAAAAAAAAGAAAACGGGAACATTTTATTTACACTTTGCTACCATATTCTTTCCATCTCATATTAATAATGAAAACCAAACCGAAGTATTATCAAATGATTTTTTATGTTCTTTAAAGTTATTCTTATTCATTATTATGGGTTATTATTTATGGGTATATATATAATGAACCGGAAAAATATTTTGAACTCTAAAGTATGATATGCAAATACAACGTGAATAACAAACTCAACAATTTAAAATATACCGAAATATTACACACTTTGTTCACAACTACAACCTTGTTTTCACGCATACGAATATCAGACTACGAATCCTGCGCGTGTGCAGTATCGTTCTGAGCTGTAACAGAATAGTTTTGGTCTGCCTCCTTCGATGATTCACATATTTTATCACTTCTCTTGATTGTACAGTGTAACTTTATATCCCCAGTCTAATTAATTTCGCCGGTTAGGGAGACACACAAACAAAAAAGTATACTATTTTTCTATGTTAGCGATCCCTGAACACATATAGTGGACACAATTTTAAAAAAAATCTAGTAAATACCGAAAAACCGGTATTTTAGCTCTTGAATACCGGTATTACAAAGTTGTACAAATGGCTCAAAATACCGGTATTCGGTATACCAGTATTGCAATCCCTAGTGAGGAGAGTAGGAGAAATACATTGAATTCGTAATTTTGATCCGAGTTTAACCTGGTTTCAGTCAAAACTGTAAACCATTTCACCTTAACAATATTTTACAGAAA